GAAAGCCTCGTTACCTTGATGCGTAAAAAAGTTAGTAGATTAACGAGAACTTAAAACCACTCGTAAAACATGCAAGGTAATAAATAGAACTCCAGTTCCGCAGGAAAAAAACACTGACACAGTAACATAATGTGCATTACTGTGCAACTGCAAACACTGCAGTCAATATAAACCATTGCATAGGCCTAAACCTAATAATATCGGTCTACAGACGACAAATGACAATATTAGACAGGCTAATGAAGCTATTTCTGATAACGCTCTTGGTAAATGCGCGTTTCTGCAGACAGGTGATGATCTTCGTGCTCTTCCTGCTTGTCTCTTCCTCCTCTTCTTCCTACAAGGGCAGGTTCAAAAGCCTAAACACAACAGTTTTTGTGCAGTGTGGCACTACTTGTATTGCAGGGCAAAACCCTCAATCATCTTTTTGATTTATGGACTCATAAAGAAATGCCCACCTCCCTATACGGTACAGTTCACTACAGTGCGGATAAGGCCGTGGCTGTCCAACCTTCTATGATTTTTATGGTTAACAAATATAGTTTAATAGTTTATCCACTCGCATCTGGTATAAGGCTCAAATTAATTGAATTATACTATAGTTATAACTGAATTATTTATTGCCTTATATTTAAAATTATTGAAGGAATGATATATTTAGGCTATTATAGGCCTACAACATAATATAGGCTATATATATACATGTGTAAACATAATAATAACTAATTTCCCTATAAATATTAAATAATTTTATTTATATGCATGTTTCAATAATTCAGTATTTTTTCTTAACTTACAACAGCTATATAGGACAACCTTTTTTCTTTTCTTTTTTGCTGTAGGCCTATTGTCACATCGTAAATTTGTAATTTAACGCTGTATTTAAATTTATTTTATAACAAACGACCTCTGTGCTGGTTTTGGAAACGGTACACAACCATCATTAAATAATGTACGACATAAGCTAAGGCGATCTTTAGAGAGTGATTTAAACTATTGGAAAACAGGGCTTAGTGCAAATGCTGGCGCCATGTTGTTCATCCTGCATAAATTAAGTTATTGGGATCAATTATGAGTGATTGCAGAAAGCCTACTGTTGTTACAACTATCGATGCATTTCTTAAATGACGAATATTGTGGGGAAATATGTCTAATATAATACTGTCTTAACAACTTGTCTAACTGTTTAGAAAAGTTAGCATATTTGTGATTATTTTCACTTGTCACCTAATTAGATATCTTATTTATCAGCAACTAAAATATGATTGTTAGCATTGCAGCACAGAACACTAAAGTAGTTTGTCTGAAGATCCCTTTTTCATCAAATACTTTATTAAAATTATTAACCTAAAAGATAAAATTATGTTTCTCTGCAACTTTGCCCCGAATAGCCAACGCTCGTCAAAGTTTTGTTTTAGTTAATTTAATTAGTTTATCTAATGGTTAACTGAATGGTTTAATTTAAGTATGATTAATAATAATAGACGGAATCAACCTGACTAAATTCGGTTGCACCGATAATAGTTAGTAGGGTCGGTAATTTTAAGGGTCAGAAAAAGAGGTGCAACTGTACGTTTCTCTTTTTTACAGTATAGACTACTGTAAGTATAGCTAGGACGTATTTATACATGCAGAATTTGTATGAAAGTTTATTGGCTGGCAAGAAGTCACGTGTGATAATTTCCTATATTAGGCTACGTGTCTCCTGAACAATACAGTTTGTTTGTTTATAGTTTAGTACAACATATGTCATACGTGACATTTGTTCTCCTTTTCTTTTAGCGTGCATTTTAGTAACAGAAAAAACTGCTTTAAATCTTCCGTTTAATGTCAGACATCCAAGCAGCAAAGTCAGTCCGTCAGGAATAGCCTATAGCGCTCCCCTCTGAGAAAAGGCTGTTTGTCTCATGAAACGGGTTTGTTTTGTATTTTAAAAGTTGTCATCAGTTTGGATGTCACAAACCCTGAAATTAAGTTTACAGTCAATAAAAAAGCTATTTCAAGCACTTTTTCCGAGATATTGATTTCACATTGTCTTAACTGTTAAGATAAAAAAGTCCCCCCCCCCCCCCCCCCCATTTAGGTAAACATTACTAACCAGCACAACGCTATCTCACGACCAATTCGTACGAGTGATGGAGTGATTAAAATGTGGCCAATTCGTACGAATTCGTACGATTTGTCTAAACCCACGTGATGGGTAGGTTTAGGGGCAGGGTCAGGGGTAGGTCATTCGTACGCATTCATACGAATTGGGCAACTCGTAAAATATGTACGATTTAGCAAAAATCGTACGAATTCGTACGAGTGAGGTCGAATGAATTCGATCACTACACTAACAGTTCGAAAAAGAAAAAGTTACAAGGTCGCTCGCTACAGAGGAGCCTTATCCCAGAGTTCACCGATCTCGTAGGTCATATGGTGCAAAGCAACAAAGGAGAAACACATTCAGATGTCCCTCTTCTATCGCCACATCAATATAACCAAAAACCCACAATGAAAGCAAGAGCACCGGTGGAACCCCAGGAAGCCTGTGAGGGTGCACACAGAAGGTACACGTTGAGAGAGCCAGTGGGGTCAAGGGGTGGGAGAGGTCGGCCGACCCGGCTGAAATGAAACTAATGGGACAGAAAATGTGTCCCCAAATTGAACTCGACTTTTCTTAGTTGCCAACAACTTCAGTAAAGTATCTTTTCAGCCTCGCGACATGGAGGCGACAGCATCTCGAAAGAGGCTGCCGGGATGCCACAATTTAGGCGTGCACATTCATTTCTCTCATAGGCTAATGGTCTCTGAATGCAGTTCTGCACCTTCTCTTTTCAAGTGACTTCCAAAGTCACGGCCAGGCTGGGACGATGGCCGGTGCCTTTTTCCCATTTGGGTTTGGATAAACTATCCGCTGAAACATATTTTGCAGTGACGCTATTGTGCACTATTTAGTGCCTGTACAACTTAATACATTAGAAGTACAATTGACTATTGCTGCCGGACTTGATTGATGGTCTAAAATGGCTCACCCCTTTGTGCTTCTCAGCCCCCCACTTAGCGAGCCGTTGTGTAATCTTCATTCAAGTCATGCCGATTTACAATTAATCAAACACATTCCTTATTTTCTGTACGTTTTTTTTTTTTTTTGAGAGTTTATTTCATTAGACACGCTAAGTGTTTAATGTTTAAAATTTAATATATTCTTGTGCATTTGAAAAAATACAAAAACGTCATAATAGAATTAAAACCAATTTGCACGCGGGAGCGTTCTATGCCGCATTGTAAATGGCAAGGCCACAGCGTGCAGATTTTGGTCCTGTGTGCGATGACGTTGCTTCGAACAGGATATAGCGCCACTTTTTAAAAATAACAATATGGCACACAAAGAGGAGTGGCTTAAATAAGAACTTTCAAAAACAGAGGTACTAGGGTTATATTTCACCACATGCAAATAGCTTCATTTACATTAAAAAAAATAAAATAGCATGGACATAACTGACCGATTTCACAGCCTTTGTCTCTTTACATTTGCCTTTTTACACATTTATCCCATAACACGTATCTTTGCAATGTGTTTAGTAAAGCTGATTTGTTTCATTCTCTATTGCATCTGAATATATCAAGATTAAGTAGCATTCATTTTAAATAATAACGAATTGCAAATTAGATTTTATTTAAACTCCGCTAAACTAACATAAAAATATAGGCTACAGACCATAAAATGTTCGACCTATTTTCACGTTCTGAATATCATCCTTTTTTTTACTGTTAGTTTACCTAAAATAAAACGAATTGGTTGAATTTGTGTGTCAGCTTGAAAACGCTTGAAATTAATATCGGAAAGAAACATAAGCAGTGCTGGGCATTTTTGAATACTGGAATTGATTTTCAGAGACATTACATCCATGTTGAAAACAGTAATGAATCTTCTGGAATGAGGAGCGATAAGGTCCCTTCTGAAAAGGCCCGAGTTATGTGCCTCGTTAATCGAAGAGGTGAGAAAGTGATGTGTACAGAACCCAAACTAACCCCTACACAACCCTCACCCCTCAAATATGGGAGATAGCGTTGTAGATATTAGAGAAGGTATGGCACTGGCAGAAATAAAATGGCTAATTAATTTCCTGCAATAAAGAATGCTGGAAACCCAATCGACACCATGGTGTATTTTTAAATGCACTGAAAACACGATTTTCCCTTTGGGCCTACATTTGACTTGCATGGAAGTTTGCATCCCCAGTTAAAAAATATAAATAAAACTTTTCGCTATTTATGCGCGGAAATTTAATCTACATTGCATATTAATAAAAGTCAGCCACGCAAGTCTAGGTAAAACTAATAGACACTTACGTTTTATTGACCAATATAATTAGCACAAATACACTAAACTGGTTTTATTGCATCTCACAACAATCTGCTGTAAATAGCCTAAACACAACGCCATCACAACAAAACTAAATGATAATTTAAAATCTTAACCTTTCCATACGACAGATAACCCACAGCATGATTTACTTTAAAAGAAAACAAAGACGTTTAAGATATTTTTTTCTATCGATACCCACGATAGTGTTTTTCCTTTACAGTACAAAAAAAATAAAAAAAAATAAAAACGTACCAGCTCTCTCAAGTGAGAAATAAATAGATTCGTTGTGCACTTCACCTTGGCAGCTGGGCAAAAGAAAGGCCCACAAATAACATTTGAATAAAATGTCCATAACCTGCTTCGCCCAAAACATTTCTCTTAAAAAGAAAGAAAAGAAAATAAGAAAAACAAACAAACATCATATTGATTCAGTTTTTAGATAAATTAAACCCTGTTTCTCGTAAAAAATAATCCATAGGTATTCGCAATAATCCATGCTATATAACATGCATTTTATATAACTGTGGACTTAAAGGAACCCCTTTACGCACAAGATACCTACGAAAACAAAATATATTATATTTTATAAATAATCAGTCATTTGATCTTCCCTTCTCTCCTCTCCTCGAAATAGTTCTCTTATAACCTTGTAATATCCTCGGCACGCTCGGGTCCGGAGAGGTCCTCGGAGGCTGATATGGTGTTAGTGGTGGAAGCTGCCGCCGCGGAGCTTGTGTTGGACCCGGAGGAAATGCCCGTGGAGGACGAGGATCTGACTTTGGTGTTTGGCAGCCTATGGTCTTTTTTCCACTTCATCCTGCGGTTCTGAAACCAAATTTTGATTTGCCTCTCCGAGAGGACCAAGGAATGAGCAATCTCGATACGTCTTCGCCGTGTTAAGTACCGATTATAGTGGAATTCCTTCTCCAATTCTAAGACTTGCTGGCGAGTGTAAGCAGTTCTAGACCGCTTGGGTTCCGCTCCATTGTAATTAGGGTTCACTGGAAAGAGGAGAAGCAAAGGGAAAGAAAGAATAGAATAGAAAAAGAGTAGAAAAGAAAAGAAGCAGCGAGGGAAGGATAGGGTAAACAAGCGTGTCTTTCATTGAGAAATGGTGGCGACAGAGGAAATGAGGGTGGGATGGATAAAACATCTTAAAGTTAGCTTTCTATAATAAGGCTAAAATCACATTGGACTCAGCACTGAATTATTAATGCAACATTATAAAGCTTAGTTTTTCCTCTGGTCCCAGATCTCCCTCACTCTCTCGCACACTCATAACAAGAGAAGCCACATGGTGATACGACTGCCCAGAGTATACCTCGGCTATAAAATTTATGGTGGGTGTAATTACCAATGCCTAGTCGTAAATCCGCCTCAATTGTGCCATTTCAAAGGCTTCTATCCTATCGTAGCAGAGGCTGGCCAGGGGATGAGTGTAAAAAGGAGTGAGGCAGACGGAGAGAGAGAGTTAGGATGAGGGGCGAGCTTTATAGTGCTTAAGAGAAATACACTCAAGTTGCCTACCGGTGCTGACGTGAATTTTCTTCATCCATGGGTACACAACGGGTTGTTTGGCAGAGGCTGAGCTGTTGGGATGCTCCGGGGTGGCTTGATTGCAGGCGGAGGATGCAGCCGGAGGGGTGGCAGGAGACAGGGGTAACGGTGGGGGCTCACATGAGGCAGGTTGCCCTTTTCCGAGCAGGTGCCCCGCGTGAGGAAGTCCATGTCCTCTTTGAGTATCAGGCTCAGGGATGCTTGGACAGTTAAACTGACGCTCCTGGTAGCTTGCCCGCGGAGGGTATAACTCCTGGTGGTGATGCTGGTAGCCACTCTCCCTTGCACGGCTGTAATATTCGGGGCTATGTTCGGGAATGTAGCTATTTTGCGAATATTCCTCGCAAGGAGGAAATTTCGGATCGATGTAGTTAGAGTCCATCAAATACGAGCTCATGATCATTAATTTCTGGAGTGGAAAATAATTTTTCTAGCTTTGTCGTTTTTCTGCTCCATAAAGCCCTCCTACTAGCGAGCAACCCTGTAAAGTTACTTTTACCACGTGATGCGATGGCCCAATGGCATGGGGCGATGTAGTCCCCGGATAAGGAACCACAGCTTTTGCAAATATACCTTCAATTTTCCGCCATTGTCCGCGAAGTCTCTCAGTCTCTCTATCCCTCTCTCTATCTTTCTCTCTCTCTCTCTCGCTCTCTCTCTCTCCCTCTCTCTCTCCCTCCTTTCTCTCTCTCTCACAGACGCATACACAATGGCCAAATCTTCTCGGATCATGTCATAGCACCTAGGGATGTTTCTCAGTTAACTTGTGCATGTGCCGTTACCTATAAGAATTTCACTCATTACTTTATTTAAATAATATTAATAATTTTATGCTTTTAGTAGTAGTAGTAAAAAAAAAAGTAATTGCATTTAAAATGCAAATAATTACACAACATTATGCAATGCTTTTTTTACCACGGAGTTTTATGACTAAACGTGCAGGGAAATATCTAGTAGGCTAGTATAAGCATATTTTCACTAGCCTATCTCTTGAGAGCATTTATGCCAGTACAAAGGAAATTTCCAAGATCCCTGGCATCTTCGTTATTATATAGAATTAATAGGCCAATTAGAACCAGATAAAACTACGTTATAAATTTTATGTTTAGTGTTTATTTAGCCTGATTCGACGAACACAGGGAGAATGTAGCCTATGGTGGCAGAAAGCAGATTCTGTGTTTAATTAAGATATAAAGGCTTTAAATCAATCGTTTACATTGGATGGCATATACAGCATATTTCCGTTTCCACAATTTTGGCTCAGTATGTTCATGTCTTCCCGTGGTAGCCCTACTAATTTCTCAAACTCCTTATGGTAGTAACTAGTAAGCACACACGACTTTCATGCAAAGTCACGTGCCTCAGACCGAGACGAATACAAACCCAACTTGGCGTTCGTGGCTTTTACGTCGCCCATGTATTCCTGTAGAGACGTATTTGCGATTTTCATGTTTTGGACACAAATTCGGTTCTACAGGGTACATATAGACGACTACTGAGAGACCTTTCTTCTATTGGAAGTTTTAAAACAGAATTCAAAGTACAAATTAAGCCAGGTTAGGCTATGACCTCTTTACCATCTTACAGGGATAAATCATTTTCTTGTTAGATTGTTTGGTCAGAATTAATATCTAGGGTCAGAACTGGTATCTTGGAACAAAAATAATAGGCTATGTGTTTGCTATTACTGAAAAAAATGAAATGCAGAAAATAAACCAATGTATTATTTTTTATTGTTTAAAAAAAATGTATTACTTTAATTATTTATTTTTCCAATTGTTCGAAAGGGAATATGCAACCCATCCGAAGTGATATTTAATCATCAGCAGGCTAGTGAGACCAACACACATTTTGAATACAGATTTGGAAATGATTTATGTATATAGGCTATGTATCTATCTATAGGCCTATGTATTTATTTATTGTTTGTTTGTTTATTGTTTGTTTGTTATAAAACTTAATGTATTAGCCTTTTCAATTAAATCAAATTCTCATACACAACAAACAAATTGTTAAATTTAACGAAAATGATTTACGATAGCCTACGACAGAATTAATTTCAATATAATTATTTTATTCGTTGATGTTAAATGTATTTTGACGTGTTCTGCCTTTTTCATATTTTTCATATCACCCCTAAACACTCCAATAGTCTGAGTAAATGAAACATAGAACATAAAAGAAAGAGTTGAGTGGGCATGAGAGGGACAAACAAGAAATAATTTTACTATCCATTCCTATTAAATCTCAAAAACATAGGAGCACCCACTTGAATATTCCGTCTCAAACATGTTGTGCACAAAGCGGACACGTGACAGCACTGATGAAAAATAAGTTTCTTTTGTTCCTTGGGGTTTATTGTGCACGTTATTACCATATGACCGCCCGGTAACCTGCAAGACCGTGCCCTGAATTTCTCTCTCCTGTTTAGCTATCTAAACGGGAACAGATACGAAATAAAAAATGATATAAACTAAGCAAAGAAAAGTACAAACACAGTTAAGTAAAGAAACAAACTTTTTAGAAATCATTTAGGCTATATATAGCCAAAGCAACAGAGATTATTTCCAAATCCAATTTTCAAACCACCAGAGAAAAATAAGATGTTCTCCCCTAAATATAACAAAACCAAACAAACAGACATGACATAACTCTTTAACAAACGAAATCCAACGAAACGACCGTTTGCCTTATCACAAGCCTTTTATTTTACTTCGAGACCCTGCAGATGTGATAGGGATTTTTTGTCCACCCCCACCAGCCTGAAAACGCCCCCATCCACCCACTCGGCACTGCTCTAGTGTTGCGGACGCATTTTAATATTAGTTAGACAGCCTGACCCGCATTTCACCCCTCGCGTTCGACTCGTTCCAATAGTTCACTGCCAAGGAGTTATTGATGAGCGAAAAGCGATGAATTCCCTCTGCACATAAATGGCCCCAGATCCTGCACCAGCTCAATAACTAGTTATAATGTAGAGACTTCCAAAAAGCTATAACCGCCGGCGAATTTGCTTGATTCATTTGTATATGAAGATTCCCCCCAGATAGATAGATAGATAGATAGATAGATAGATAGATAGATAGATAGATAGATAGATAGATAGATAGATAGATAGATAGATAGATAGATAGATAGATAGATAGATAGATAGATGTGGTTGACTAAGATTGTGTACAAAAAGGTGGGATTTTGGATGGAAGAATATTTTAGCTGTCCATAAGGATCTATTGTTTGTATACTTGAACGAATGGCATTTTACGCCTAGACATATGATATTTAATAGCCTATGCCCTTTGCAGTAATTTGGAATTATTTCATTTTCGGGCTCATATTTCTTGCCTTAAATATCGAATGAAATTGAGTTCAAGTGGCCTAAGCTGTTCCACAATATAAAAAGAACAAGGCCTTACTAATTTTTCTTTTTTTTTTCTTTTGCGCTCTTAAATATTTAACGTCAGATTTATTTATTTATTTGTTTTATACAACCCATATATATATATATATATATATATATATATATACGTATATATATATATTCTCTCTCTCTCTCTCTCTCTCTCTCTCTCTCTCTCTCTCTCTCTCTCTCTCTCTCTCTCTCTCTCTCTCTCTCTCTCTCTCTCTCTCTCTCTCTCTCTCTCTCTCTCTCTCTCTCTCTCTCTCTCTCTCTATATATATATATATATATATATATATATATATATATATATATATATAAAAAAAAAAAAATCTGGCTATTTGTAACCATTACAGTATTGATAACATTTTTTAAAGGTGGGATAAATTCATGAGGTTGTTTTTTCGTACAGCTTATGTTTTCTTACATAATTTTTTTATGCTTTATATTTATTTATAACAATTATTTTAAAACCCTTAAAATTATTAAAACAGAGAGGTGAGCTGGGTTATACAATTCTGTATTTTAATGTATGTAGCCTAGTTATTTAGCCTATTTATTTTTTATAAAAAGATGCAGTTAGATTACAGTGGACAACTTGTTTATGCTATGCAAATAAAAAGAGTATTTATCTTCTAGGAAATAGTTTTTTCTTATATATATATATATATATATATATATATATATATATATATATATATATATATATATATATTATATATATATAGTCTATAGGCTGCATTTAAAAAATATAAAAAGAGCTTTTTGGCTCACTAGCACAACAAACAGCTTTAGCACAAAACACTTCCTTGCCTCGAACATGTGCTGTAGTTGTTCGCCACTATTGTCAGGGAACACTGCCCTCTGTGTTTATACGCAGCGAAACAAGATGGGAAAGAATATTATAGGCAACTGGAACAAGAAAATAACGGTAAGACTTACCAGTGCAACGACGACGTCCTCCTTGCTCACACGTTCATTATTCCCTCATGTGCTAAAAAGAAAGAAAGCAATTTAGAAAATAAAAGTAAATTACTTATAAAAAGTTATCTTCCCAGGCGTGTATAAGGATAACCTATTTAACAATATAAAGGGTTTGATATATGTTTAAAACAATTGAATTCCTGTGATGGAAATAATGCCAGTCTTTCAGTATCCTGAAAATGAATATCAATATCTGAATAAATATCTGGAGTTTATGTAATCAGTTAAAAGCTAAAAATATGCATGAAGCTTATAATAATCTGACAGCTGCATTTAAATTCTTTACTGATAATTATGTTTTAATGTGTTTAGTACAACTTCTCTTTGTCTCTCATTGAGGTTGAACTGTCCAGAGGCATGATCCTTTAAAGTAGGACAAGGCTATGTATTTAGCACAGGTTATTTTCAGAACGATTTCCTTGATGAATGTAGTTATTTTTGCAACAATGGAGGAGCTAAAATGAGTTCCTACTTGGTCAGGTTAACATGGCAATTCAGGATTGTTTAAAAAAAAAAACGTGATTTGCTTCTTTCAGGTTTACAGGCTCACAGAGTTTACAGTATATGTAAATATGTGCATACTGTGAATTCACATGCAGTGTTGGACCACTGTTTGTCAGTGAGATGAATGGCAAAAAAATAAATAACCTGAATATTAACCTTAATACTGAAGCAGGGGCGAAAATATAAAAGTAATTTAATTAAATAATGTATGGTGATATTATATAGGCTACACAGAAAGATAAACATTATGTATATAAGTTCTACAATTATCCATGCTCAACACTGGAAAACATCTAAACACTACGGTATAATTTCAAACAAATCTAAACTGTGTTCAGTTTAAAGCTGTAATTACTGCATTAAAGTCAAAGTGTTTTCTGTTACACACTGTTGTTTCATAGCAATGCAGTCCTTGTTGTCATGACCATCCATTTAAATCATAATCATGACATGGGTTTATTAAGATATCCACCAGTCCAAATACCCTTTGCTATTTTTTTTTCTTTTTTTTTTCATTCATTCACCTCATCCATTACTGAATGAAGAAGAGCTTATCCACATTGAGAATAAAGGTTCTGTCTTGGATTTTTAAAATGATTGTCCAAACAAGAACTTCAACAACTTGTTAACAGAGGCTATTCCAACATTGAAAGCATTGCCTTGTTTAACTAAACATGATGCAATGGCATCATTTCCAACTCTGTGTCATTTGCTGGCTCTTTGAAGGAAATTACTGCCATATTCCTTGTATGGCCAGTCAATTAGTAACCTGGTAAATGACAAAAGAATATGTTGAACCCCTGCACTCAGAGAGAAGAAAACAGAGGAATATAAAACTATTGCCCCCTATTGGCAGTTAATGTTTTTGACAGTGTATTCAAAGACCTTTAATGATAAAATTAAAGGATGCACATATGGGCTCACTAAAATAGTGGAGTTAAAATGATTCTTAATTATAAATGCCAACAACAAATTAATTTGAATTTATTAAGAGTTTTCCATCAAGGTACAACAATTGTTATTAATTAAATCTCTTTAATAAGTGGAGATTTACTGAAAGTGTTTCAATAGCGAATGTGATGTTGGCAAGGGCGTAGATTTGGTTTGAACATTGGGGGGGTTGAAGTTTGGGTATGCCTCCTGATATTGTGATCATGGTATAAATAATAGGGGGGTTGTAATGCATAGATTTAAATATTGGGGGGGGGTTTACGCCCCTGGATGTTGGTTGTACCACAGTACACACCACATGACCAATTTATTCTCTCAATGACTAACCACTTTCCAATACCCCACAAAAATATTAAATGCTGTAAATTTAACATTTTACTGATTGATTATTATTCTAGTCAATGTATACAATAAGGAATATTATCAACTTGAGTGAGTAAAACCTGCACCTGCTCTGAACCAAAAATGAGCCAACAGGAATCAGCTTCTGCTTTGATGTGATAAAAACTGCGGAGTACATTCATACAATTATCTCATTATCAGCTTTGTTGTTCTTCCAATAATAATGCACACATAAATAATGAACACATAAATAAACACAACATAATCCGAGAAAAGCAGCTGTGAAAAACAACTATTTACAAACACTTGATTATAGTTTGATGGAGTGAATTTTCTGATTTCTGGGATAAAGAATGGACATTGAAAATGAAAGATGAACAGCAATATCATTTTTTGTTTTATTATATTTCTTTTATATTTGATTTATTGTATACAATGGATTGTGTAATTGCATGACTGAACTAAACTATTATTTCAAGTGCTGTGTAATGAGCACTCATACATGTTTGTATTATTCACAACAGTAATTATTGATTACGGGAAATGGATTAGCCAGTGTTTATGTTGGAATATCACATAGACTCATCACTTAGTTGTATAAGCAAGTCAGCAGTTTACCAACTTAATACTAACTGGAGTTCTATCAAGTACATTCTTGATACTGTTTTCTGATCTGCTTAATCTGTCCTCCCACTGTTCTTTATAAAAAAAATTTTTTTAAAGCATTTAATTAACAGTAGGCCTGGAGGAAAGAACTTTGGCAAGCCATGGAATTTACAACTCAGTGATATTTGCAACCAGACACTTCTTTACAAGACAGAACCAGTCAGTGAAATGGGTCTTTACACTTGTTTCTACAAACTACAAATTGCAGTGACTGAGCAAACTGTACAAAGCTGTTTTGTGAAATATTTGCTAAATCTGACATTAGAGTAAGGCGTGTCATGTCCTGTTTTTTTTTTTTTACTTTCTGTTGAAATAATGGCATTTGAAGGATTTGTTTTGTTTAACAAAACAGGGTAAACAGAACTGAAATGGTTAAAGACATAAAATGATGGCACATTAATTGCAATCCACACTTTTCTTTATTAAAACTCATGAAAGTTTGTAATTATCTTACAACTGGAAACAAATGAATGGCAAAAAAAAAAAAAAAAATACCCCCATAAAACAGACAGTTATATTTGTATCTGCAACCCAACTCTTTTCCTTAAACTATATATATATATTTTTTTAAATCACAATTGATGTTTGGGAGGTCAATAACCTTTAATCTTGGTTTTTCTTCATAATTATTTTTGGACACATGTATAACCTTTGCACAGCAAAAGGGCCTGAGTTAGTTCATAATGCCAAAACTGGGGCATTGGTTCTTTTCATTTGAAATAACTCTCAGAATATACCACAGGCCTTCACTAAATAGAAACAGAGCAGTGACGATGGCGGTGGAGTTCCTGTTCAGCCAAGATTGCTGTGCACAGATTAAAGAGAACATTGTGGATGAACAGGGTCTGACTTATTCTGTTTCCAAGCACAACATCATAAAGTAAGATATGGCTTAAACTTTTCATACCATAATTATAATGGTCAAGTGGAGCCTCATCTGTCAAATAAAGACCACTGAATATCCGGTGTTGAAAACTGACAAATAACAGTGGTCAATTTTTAAAAAAAAATATTTGAATAAAATGTATACTTTTTCATGTGACTTTGAACCATTTGGAGTCATTTCAGTTTTTTTTTTAGTTAAGTTAATCATGTGACTCTTCATCCACACTGCCCTGTACATGACCCCACCACACAACACCAAATCTTCTCTGCCCTGCACATGACCCCACATTATGTCCGATCTAAAGATATATGTTCTGCGCTCTCATCTGCAAACCAAAGATCACTTAGCTTCTCAGTCCTTCACCGTCACTTTTACCACAACATACACATCCTAGGGACAAACTAAGCATTTTTCACTAGTATTTTGATATACGCACATTCTGTGATTGGATATAGCTACTACAACGCAAATACTTAAGTGAATATTAATTACGATCCGAGACAAAGCTCTTCACACATGCACAATGCTTTTAAGATGCATACAAGATGTTTTTGAATACATACGAGTCATGATATACAGAATTAGATTTCAAGCTGCTGCCAGAACAATAATTCCATATCAACGCCAAATTAACAGTAATATACAAATGCACAAACGTTGAAATTGATCAAAACTGAACAGATGAGGACACATTTGCGCACCACTTGACACAATTTCTCCATGAACTATTGAATTACATCCTTGATTAATTCCCGTGGGTGTTGCGGAGGAACGTACATATTTAATTAAAAAGAGGAAAACAAGATTATTAACTTACTGCAACCGCCTGGGATCCATTTGGGAGAGTCGAACTTCTACAGACCCTGACGCGAGTAACCCGCACTAACAGGCTCTAAGCCTTTCTCTCAGAGATAAGACTAGCCAACAGCTGCGATTACGGACAGTTAACATTATATATGATGTAAATATATTGAGGGTTTGTCAGGTCTTGCAGGCCATAAAACCCACTTTAATGACCCCACGTGCTCTTCCTGCACCACTCACTGGTCTTGCTTTGGGCAATTGGCATAAATAACCTTCAAAACTTCAAAATACGTGGCAAGAGAGCTAAAAAAAGAGGGGTTTGTGTAAAAAGCAACATAGTAACCACAGTAACTCGCAATGTGGTCAAGATAGCGAGTGTAGAAATTCAAAGAAGCATGGAAATTTACATTGAATCTCCAATATAGGTGAGTGAGACGATTCTAAAATGAAAGCACTTTTGAAACAGTAGTATATATTGACTATAGCTGGCTGTTTTTTTATTTTCAGCTTAGTATGTGTATATAATGTTAGCATTCAGAAACATGGAGATTAAAATGTTCGGTAGCATTTCAAATACATCGAGAGCGCCGAGAAGGCATGAATTAAGAAAAACTAGAGTAGAACAAGCCAGTCGAAAATTAGCATTTTGTTCACACAGTCAACGCTCCTATGTCCTTTGTTTGACATGGGCCTGGACTATGTGATTTCTGCACATAAGGTGGCTAACATCATGTCTCATTTTCTAAACGACAAATTTCAACAATAAGGTTTGAGCAATTCACTTTAAACTTCTTTAATTATATGCTTTACACTTTCGTTTCATATTTCAAATGCACGTAGGCTATATATTATAATTTAGTAGCACGCAGTCTTTTATTAAATGTGCAAACTATCTTATTGTTTTAAGAGGTTTGTACACCAAAACGTCACTTTGAAATGTTTGTGTAAACTTCCGCCGATTTGTTAAAAAAGGAAACAGTTGTCAGTGTCTGATGGGTGAGAGGAAGTGCTGTAAAAGTTTATTGGGGTCATAAAGTTTTATGTGCCTCCGTTACAGGGCTACTGTAAATAAGTGACCAGGGCGTTAAAGTTCAATCATGTCTCATCACTGGAAGTATACACATGCACACTTGGTCCTCGATTAATACACGAATATTGTACCAAAATCATATTATTTCGCGCAGAACGTTTTCTTCTCTTAACCCTGAGGTATCAAATGGGCCTTGAATGCAAAAATGCATTTGTGTAAAGAAAGACTCGTTATTTTTGTTTTGTCAGACCAATAGGACATTCTTTACGTTTCATCGATTTTATTTACAATGATACCACATTGGAGGTTTTATTGGACACAGACGGCTTTTAACCCAGAGTTGACAAAACTTTCTGATATGTTTAGCAATTTAATCTGGTTACTGTGATTAATTGTTGACTGGAAAAGTATCAATGTGGCTTAACAATGAAACTTCGAAAACAAATGGTAAGAATATCAGAAGTAATGGATCATACAAATGCGGTTCACACAAAAGTAGGTCGTGTAGTTTGTTTGTTATGAGAGGTATAAGCCACTCCTTACAGTACTTGCCTATATACTCAAGAGTAGAGTGTATAGAAAGAAATATTAAGGTGCCTGCCTGTAAAATGTGCCCCAAAACATATTCAATTAAAGAGCAAAATGTTATGAACGCACAGTATTTCAACAGACATAATAATGGAGATAAAATTACCATTTGGCTGCTGGTTGACAGACAACATGATAGACAGCGTTTAATATGACACTACAGTTGTTGCATTATTATCATGGAGAGTGGTTTACTATAGCCTACTTGATGTATTTACGACAGAAAGTACAATGGATAAAAAGACAAGTTCCATCAAAATTCAATATGCAAAGGGGAGATTGATCAATGTTCAAACAAAGCACCACATTATTTGCACTTACATTGAAGTCAACGTAACTGGATGCAGGCCTTGGTATATTATGTAGGTTACTGATACAAGTGGTTTTAGTAAATCATATTCAAATAATATACATTATTCAAATAAGCATCTTCCGGGAGAGAGCACTATCAATAAATATCGAAAATATTGACATATTCACACAACAACATGATATTGTAGACAAATGAAAGACATTTAATGTTGTTAACAACAAAATCTAATCATTTGTTGTTTCAAGTTAACACTGCCTTTAATTTCAGGCTTTTTAAATTGAAGCCGTGCACCACATTATTTATAGTCCTCCTTTCACTTTCAACTTTGAGTCCTTCTTCCACTTCATGCGACGGTTCTGGAACCAAATTTTAATTTGCCGCTCGTTCAAGCAGAGGTTATTGGCAATCTCGATACGTCTGCGACGTGTGAGGTATCGGTTGAAATGGAACTCTTTCTCCAACTCCAGAGTCTGGTACCGGGTGTAACTGGTTCGTGACCTTTTACCGTCAGATTCTGAAGTGGCATCAGAAAGATATTGGGTTACCTATATGTAAAATTTTATCGACTGTCGTCCTCATGCATATTACTAGGAAAAATATTTTCATAATCACTGATGAAGTTGCCACCAAACACAATCCATAAAATGAAATATGGATACATCAAGCATTATGAAATCCAAAATGAAAACAGTGGACAGGTGGTATGTCGCTAATATTTATTTATTCTGAAATTAGAAAGTGTCATGCACAAAAATAACACAAAGGTGATAAAAAAAAAGCATAATCATAAATGTATGAAGGCCACGAGCTTCCTAACATGCCCTGACCCACAATATTGTAAGAGCTCAAATAAAATAAAAACTAACTAAATAAATAAAAATAAAGAGAAAATGCTTCACTACTTAGAGGATACAAATTGACATTATACTTTTGTCATTTGCTCTACTAGCTACTCCAACGGTGCAGAGTGCAACTAACCGGAAACAAGTAGCCTACTGCCAGATAATGTATGTGTATGCAAAGATTCGCTAGAAATTCCACTTTACATGAATAACATGTAAACTCATGCTTAAAGCAAGAAATAATAAGTACATTTAAATGTAATCATTTTTTTGCTTTTCTTAACCAATTATTTCTCCATAAATTTGAGCGGAGATCACCTCTTCACAGAAACAGGACAGGTTTACGAGCAATAGATGCCTTTGTCATAAAATTTACGGCCGCTAGTTTTATTATTTCCTGCGTTTGGCCTATAAAACTCAAGAGTAAAAATATGGAGCGACAAAACGTAGGAAGGATATGCAATGACGAGGATGAGATGCGTGCAGTTTCCCTCTCTCTTCCAAAACAAACTTTAAACGTAACTTTACCGTGGCTCATGTGTAGCTTTGTCATCCACGGATATATCTGCGGCTGCGACTGGTTCTGACGCTGAGTCGAGTTAGTTTGTTGCTTTATCGCTGAAGTAGTCTCCATTTTGATATCGTCTGTGCGGCTCTTGCCGCTGGGCTTCTCCATAACTTCCATATTCCCCTCGGCTTTTTGGCTCAACAGTCCGTGACTGAGGGGGTTGTACCCGTGAGGGCTTACAAAGCTACGAGAGCCCAGAGCTGAAAAGGACTGTGTTCGCTGAACTGCTGCACTGGTCCTTGCACGGTCGCTTGTGTTTATCGCCTCCCGTTTCAAAGAGTTGGAGGGGATTTGAGAACTGAAGGATCCGCCGATATCAAGTCCTTCGTACGCGTAATTGGACTCGTGAAACTCAGAGTGAACACCATAGTTGCCAAAAGTGTGCATTCTACAAGAGGAGGCGTCTTGCGTTTGCTTAGAAAAAGACTTTCCAACGTATGAGCTCATTCTATTTCCAAAACAATATAGTAACCTTAGAGAGAGTCACAAAAAGCACCCGATCGCAGCAGAGATTGAATCAGCTAATAAAGTATACATGAGTTGTTTAGAAGTTTTATTTGTTTATTGGACTTTATTTGTATTTCTAGAGGACGTTGGGCTTGTCCTAAAAAAGAGCAGGATTTATAGGAGGAGGAAATCATTTTCTTTTTTTTCCTGATACGACGTGTAATGCCCAAATATGGAATGTTTAAATAGAATCACGTGCAGCTCCTGGGCCAGTCATAAATTGGCTTGATCCCCAGGAGGTTATTGATAGACAGTGAAACGTGTCCGATAACTTCTCGGTATGGAAATCATCTAAGGGTCTGGGCTAAAAAGGGCGAGACCGTTAGACAAGAGCGTCATCTGGCGTCTAATACTGGACAAAGCGGCCCCACACACACACACACACACACACACACGCATACATACATACATACATGCACGCACGCACACACACACCCACACACACACACACACACACACACACACACACACACACACACACACACGATACTATGCGATACGATGTTATGGCAAATCAAATGTCGGCGATATATGGAGTAGGAGTAGCAACACGATTGTAGGCCTATCCATATTCTATATGACACATGTGTGTTTCTCCTGTTTCGCGGTAATGATTTCTGATTGTTTCATGTGTATGTTGCTTTTTTCTTGGGTGTTTGCGAAATTAATCCCCATTATGATCATATATGTCTCTTAAATGCGTCAACGTAGATATGTGCATTTGTTGCAGACTAGTGGCTTCCCAAAACTAAATGTGATTTTTATTTTATTTAATCGCAGAACTACTGGTTTAGCGTTGTGCCACTATGCAAGGCAAATGTGATTTTGTCAATCAAGCATTGCCGCTGAATAGACAAGGCTTTTTTATTGAATGAAAAGTCTCTAAATCGTCACATAGCCAACTTGAATCATTAGGGATTAACAATAATAGGTTGTATTATTCCATTCAGATAATTGGGCAGATTAAATTTGAGTTAAATTAAGTACACTTTAACGATACACCAAACTCCAATGTAACCGTAAATTTAATTTGTCATTTGGATTCAAATTGCTCACAAACTCAAAGATAAATAAAATCTTCTTCAAAACGAACAAGTGTTTCAAGTCTTAAGTTTACTGAACCCTTTATGAATGGTGAAGAGCGCAAGGCTGGAGTCAAAATAAAGGACAATAAAGGTTTTTGTTTTCAAGAATTTTATTAAATAATACACAGTTTACACAAACAATATAATTGCGTACCAAGGTATATGTTTGTTTTCATATTGGTGTGATTCTCACTTTAAGACAAGTTTATATGCACACAACTACAAGTATGATGAAATGTATTTTTGAAGTTCTCTCAATAGCTAATGTGCCAGTATACAGCGGCATTTTGAACAACAGAACACTGACGGGGCAAAAGCAATATTAACAAAAAAAAAGGATAATAAAATGTAATAAGGGTTTAGGTAGTATAGTTCATCCCGTCAGGGTTTGTTTCATTGTACAAATATGCATCCACAAAGAAAAAAAACTGAATGTGCATATAAGAAGTTTCCTTCACCTCTGGAATGCTTAGGTACAGTTTAGAGGCTTAATAGTTTGGGAGACATAGCCTACTTATCAAATTCGAATACATTTTCATCTAATGTAATTTTCTACTAGCCTATAGCAACATGATAGCTAATACTAGAACCACACAAACATTTCAGCTGTGGCATTGTCATCACGCAGCCAATAAAGAACTATTTTCAGTACAAAGAGAAGTGAATTGCTTTATGGTGGATAACATGTGCGTCTTCCTCTCTCTTAATCTCTCCATTTGTTTCAACGAGTGTAAATGTTAGTGGCGTGGTGGTAGTAGAGCTTGTGTATGGTGTTCAGGTCGGAGGAGGAGGGGGCAGTCAAAAGGAATAGCAGAGTATACAGTCCATGCATTAATATTTGCAAATTCTCCGTTTAGGTAGTTACGTTGCAGTTAACAGGCGTTCGAGAACGAGAAATGGACTTCCTAATCTTTAATCTTTTTAACTTCCTCGGTTTCCTCCTCGGTCTCCTTCTCGGTGTCTTGAGGAGTACCCGTTGATTCGGTCCCCGGTACAGTAGAAGTTAGATTGGTCTCTTTCTTCCATTTCATGCGCCTATTCTGGAACCAGATCTTGATTTGACGCTCGGTTAGACACAGAGCGTTGGCGATCTCGATGCGTCTGCGTCTGGTTAAATACCGATTGAAGTGAAATTCTTTTTCCAGTTCCAAGGTTTGGTATCTGGAGTAAATCTGGCGACCTCTTCTTCTGTCTGACCCGTACCCAACTCCTGTTGTGAGAAAAAGTGTAAATACATTTTAAAAAGAGAGTTTACACAGATCAATTCTTAATTGAATGCAAAATAAAACACACCTTTGGGATCCTGGTGGAATAATTCACTTAGTGCATTTTTTTATTATTTATTTTATAAGGTAACTAATATAACAATTTGACACAATAATGTAGCCTATATATACGCAGCATTTAACCCATTATTACAGTCACAAAGCATCGCGAAACTTGTTTCGAATTTCAGTGTTTCTAAAATATTTCTTTCAACCAACTTTGCTACCGTGTGGTTTCAAACAGTACATCGGACAAGTTAAGTCACATTTTTAACATAGTAGTGCATGCTCTTAAAATGGTTCAAAATGCACTTTTCGTTGGATAATTTTCTAACGCGCTCACACTTATTGTACATGTTTTTGAAATAATTTTGGCACTTGAGTATTAAAGGAGGTAGCCAAATGGGATTCCCCTCTCTGGAAAAGGGGGCTTTTATAGTCTGATGATTTAGTAGTGGTTTATGAGGCCATAAAATGTAGCTACTCTGTTGATAGGACGTATCGTAAAACAGACCAATTCCACCAGGGTATGTCCCAAGTCGCAGTAAAAACTCACCGCTGTGCGAGTTCATGCGCTGCATCCACGGGTAGATCTGAACGTTGTTTCCTTTCTGATCCTGTGTTCCTGCACGAGCTTGTTCCAGGCTGTACTCCTGGGCAACGTGGCTCTGCGCACTGAGTCCCATACTAGTTTGCCTGCAACTGGGAAGCACGTCCTTATCTTGAAGAAACACGTTAGATCCATACTCGTACGGTCCTCGACTTGATCCAAACACAACGTTATCTTGAGGTGAATAGAAAGGGGACGCATAAATCCGGTTTTGGGTCACTGTGGTGCCATAAGACGAAAAATGTCTGACTGAATCATATGCGGTCGTGTTCAGTGGCATGTTGGGCAAAACCTCTTGCCCACCAGATAAATGGCACGAGAGCGACGGGTTCGCGAAATACGAATTCATACCTTTCCTATCGCCCTCTCATCAACTCACCCTCCTATCTTATTTCCCCTCTCTTAATCTCTCACTTTCTTTCTTTGTGCTATGGGGTCTGCTTCCTTCTGTCACATACACACGTCTCCCGCCCGCTTTCCTAACTCTCTTTCAAATGAACTTCAGAAGGATTTCAATAATATTAATTTCCAGTCTCCGGTTAAGACGCGCAAAGCAAGTGTTATAGCCAAGGCTTGGCTCATGGAAGGACAATATGACAGCGTCACCTGACCACTTTCAGCCAATTGAATGCGCTGTGTACGGAGGAATATCGAGCTTGTAGCTTCTTATCCTTGTGGCTTCAGTTGATAAAGTTTAAGTAAACACACACACAAATATAGAATACGCACTCACACGACCAATGAATTACATATTTTTGTCCATTAATCAACGAGTTATAATCTGTTAATCTTCTCCACGTGTATTATGAAGATACATCTAGACTTAGGCTATGGAGAATCATGCATTTTACATTGAGCTAATTTTCATCTCAGTTAATTGCCTGAAATATGGGTTTTTACAGTTGCTTACTGTCGCTGACTTAGACCAAAATATCCTATATTTGTATATGTTTTACTATGACAATACTACTGTATTCGTGTCTTCTTGGCGCAACAACTTTATTACTGTGTAGATGATATAACTACAATTGTAACCATTCCAATTACCTACATGAATAGAACTCTTTGTTTAAAAAAAGAAAATGACCAAGGGCTAATTGCCACACGGCGTATCTACACCGATTTTGTTTACCCTCCCTTTTAAGATGCATTTAACAATTTCATGTAAAAATAAATAAAAGTAACGGTGAATATGTCCGCTGATACACATTTTATATCATATTAATAGACATTAACTGCATTGTCGTCAGTCGCCAAGTGAAATGACCACACTATTCTTTTGTTATTCAGTAGATATCTCCCTCTAACGTTTGTTTTCTCTATCTCTATTTCCTCGGGCTTTCATTGCGCTGAAGGGGAAACGTCTGTTCTTTTCCTTTCCCCATTTGTAATGTATTGATAATTTCAATGGTAAAAAGAACCTGAGTAAGGAGGGGGGAAGGGGCATCTTACTAAAGAATGCGTCAAACGCGCCTTGGTGCCATAAAAGTCACAAACCCAACTGAGGACTTCCAGCTCTGAAGCAATTACCCCTTTAAATGTATGGGGGCTGTGCAGCGAGTCTCTTATCTAGTGGACAGAAAGCTGCAAAAAATGTTTTAGCATTTAACTTTATGCAGAATGATTATGAAAAAAATAATAATGCCACGAGATATTTTAAACTTAAGTAGGCCAACTCTGATGACTGTATTGATTTTATTTATAAGGATAAACTATATTTTTTCATAATTTCTTAAAATGATAATATTTGCCAACGATCTGTTAAATAATACAAATATACAGTTTTCCTTTATTAAATGCTTGCAGCCATATTAATGTAATGGTCAATTTATATATTATCATGTTCAAAGAATCAGTAGTGGGAACAGGACTAGTTTTAACCGAATGGTTAGGGTATGCTCCATGACCTTAATGCAGGCCACATGACGGGACGTGTGAGGCCAAAAACAGTGGTTTAGAAAGAGGTGCGCAAAACACGAGATTGACAGAACAGTAAAATTTACTTCCAGCCCGACAGTGAGAAAAGGCATTTAACAGCTATAAAACAGGCTAATCTGCTTAACGATTGATTAAATACATACAATTTTTCTTTGTATTCTAAAGTACCTATAAAATTGGGATAAATCAATATCAAGGATGAATGTTTTTGATGGGTTGTCCTATTTTGGACAATATTTGAGATCGACAAAATTTAACTCTATATCTCTGCTAGGAATGTCTGTTATAGGAATTTCTAAACATATGGTAAGTGCTATTTGATCAGTTTACGGCTACTGCATATGAATATGATTAATTATCTTCCGAAGCTAATTCATCGACGTTTATACCAATAATAATAATAGTAGTAGTAGTAGTAGTAGTAGTGCAGTAGTAGTTTTAACCGGTCTGCAATAAAAGTTGCCTAATAAAAACATGAATTACATGCCGCTAAGTTAATACAATATACATATATCTATATGGCAGTGTGTAACTTCACGTACTACTATGATTTAATTTATACAATATTACACCATGTATACTGTGGGAGAAAAAAACTAATAAAAGTAATATATAACAGTAATAAAAATATTTCTTGCGTGAAAAGCGTGCACACGTTTTAACTTTTCATTTTTAGATTGTGGCAATTTAACAATTGCCAATTCAAATATATGAAATCAAAACAAAAAAAATCACACCAATAATTATATTTTCAATTACAATTTTAAAAATATTTAAATTACCTTTGTATTAAACTAGTAGGCTATGCCACACTGGATATCGGATATCCTAAAATATTTAGAAACAGGAAAGCGCGATGCTGAAAACAAATCAGAGGTGCATTATTAATACTTAAATCATTTAATTGTTTTCACTAGGCTATCTTCCGACGTGTAGTTTGGCGGAATTGAGATCACATAGGCTACTAAGTGTAGGTTGTATCTATATATCTGACTCTTTGATGTTCAATATTGCTCCAACGACTTTGAACTGAAAGCCTTTGATGGGGAGATTTTTCATATCGTGATCTATTTTACAGCATCAGTCTTGTGAATGAAGTAGCGAGTAAAACACACCACACTCAGTCTGCAGTTGGTATGTTGATGTGACTGGAGAGAAAGAGCTTTAAGTGTTTTATTGCAGCCCTTAAGACAAATCGCACGGTTGTGTTTTAGCGTTTGAAGAGGCAATAAATAGACATCCCGTTTGGCCTGTATTCTCTTTACACTCGACCAAACTAGGGACTAACGTCCGCCAAAATCGTCCTTACTTCCAATGCGTAATTTACGTGATATGATTATGATCTGGAAAAAGCAAGCTATGCACATCCTAACTGTGCTCGATAATGGCCTAGTCTGCACATTCTCCAAAGTTAAATGAATGTTATCATTGGCCTATTTATTTGTAACGGATGTTCACAATTGCAAATTCCAATGATGAGTCTTATGGCTTTCTTATCCAAGCCCAACTTTCCTACCCTGTCATCTATATGTCGATGTATCTATGCGAAAACAAAATCCATAATAGTAACGTGACAGCTGTAACAGAGCTCTCATGTGCAGCTAAGCACTTATAACAACACGCGACCCGAAGGGGCATTATGATTTTTAACTAGCACAAGATAATTCTGTGTAATTTTGTGGCCGCGTAATGACCTCCATGAATAAGGCGTTTTGAAGTAGAGCGAACTCATATTGCCCTGCGGTTCTTGTAAGGAAATGTTTGGAATTGAAAGTTCGCCTGGAATTTGTTTTCATTTTCGTGGTAACTGAATTATGCCTTCTATGATTCAAATTCAATAGCGGTGGCAGACATGAGATTGGCCCAAAGTTTACACAAATGATAGTCAAATGGCAATAAATGTGTCAATTTCAGAAACCTGTTTAGAACTTTGCTATTAACACTAAGAATAACTGTAATACACAAATGAATAAATCTCGTGCACCTTATATACGTACAGGCATAAGGATTAGTTAAATAGACTCCATTTTTAATGGCAAACAAAAGACAGTCATTATTCCGAGGCAAAGAGGAGACTCACAGTATAAGAACCCCGCCCTCCACTCGCGTTGCGCGTTCTGTCTCTCACTTACACACAAATACACACATGCACATCGACAAACCATATGCGAGCCCACACACAAGCATTCTGCCTTAATAAATTACCAATCCATTAAAAAAAAGAGAGAAAATTAGTTACGCAAACCTAGCTCTATAAATCAGATTATGTGTTTCTGTATAAAAAAAAATATATGTTCATACACACTTCTAATTTCACAAATAAACACAGCATAAGTAAAACTTTTCTTTTTAACAGTTCCATTGCAAATGGAATGCATGTTCATAACAACTGGTTTTATTATTAACACTTTTTTTTGTTTCCCCCAGTCCAGCCGCACGTGGATTTCAAGAGGCCCATGACTGAAGGTCGCAGCTCTAGCTTTTTGGTCAGCGGAGTACCAACGGATTTTATTAATATGCTACCCCATGGTTATTATATTTAAAGCTTCATGTTTGTCCATACTGTCTCATTACAACTATAAAACTAATAAAAAAAATAAAATAAAATAAAGTAGTCGGACTGTTTTTGTATTTGTTTTGAAATAATTAATATGAATTGCTAAAAGCCACAATACACACAATATATATATATATATATATATATATATATATATATATATTGCTAATTAGCTAGCATAATAACGCTAGTAAAGCAATTGTATCCGTTTCCTTTCCCCATTTTTCTATCAAATAAACTTTTTACGCAGAAACACCAGCAAATGGCAGACATATTCCCACATGAAAATAATCTGAATTTTATGTGGGCAGTTGCCCTCACTGATTTTGGACTCTGTATAATGCCTTGCATATGGAGCAGGCACAAGGTGGCAGTGTTGTTTGATTTAGTCTTCACGGAATGACAGTGTTGGATGATTGAACACGTGAGAGAGAGAGAGAGAGAGAGAGAGAGAGAGAGAGAGAGAGAGAGAGAGAGAGAGAGAGAGAGAGAGAGAGAGAGAGAGAGAGAGAGAGAGAGAGAGAGAGAGAGAGAGAGAGAGAGAGAGAGAGAGAGAGAGAGAGAGAGAGAGAGAGAGAGAGTGAGTGTGTGTGTGTTGTTGTTGTTGTTGATCCTGATCCGTAACAAATATTCAGATATGTCTGGAGTGTTTAATCAGTTGTTTGCAGTGTAACACAAGCCGTTTACGCTTTATGTGAGTAGTTGAGCAAGTGTAAATGATTTTGTGAGCGCAGCTATACAACACCCGTTTGTCATCAGACGGACACAACCAGGATTCAGCAGTTTGGATACAAATTAGCGATACTAGTTACATAGTAACCCTGTCTCTCAAAATATAACTCACTCATGAATATCTCACTCGTAAATAATTCACATTTCCAGTGTAAATAATCACACATAGCGAGGAATAGTAAAATGCAATCTAGAAAGAAAATATGACAAGAAGAGCTACCAATATAGCCCGATGAGTGTCACATAGTCACATTGAATTGGTTGAATATAGTAATTTTTGTAAAAGGCCTGACATTCTTGAGTCCAATTTGCAGATTATAGTAAAGCTATAGCTTACTATGAAGTCAAAAATGCAATTACATAAATACCCGAATCAAAACACCAAAATCAAACTTAACCTGACAACGCATGTATTTAACTATTTGAAAGTAAACGCATTAACCCCAAACCACATCAGCTAGGACAACTTAACTTAAAAAAATATTATATTAATTTTCGCCGAGACAATTAACCATCAACAATAGTACCAGA